TATAATTAATTGCTGTCTTGATAGTGTAAACAACTATCATGCAGCTCGAGCAATTGTTACTTATCCAAGACTTATTCGGCCGCTAGACCATGTTGGTTCCCGAAAAATGATGGATGTTTATGGGTATTGATGAGCTGCAGGAAATGACTGCCTTATCACCAGCACCATAATAACCTTTCATTAGTAACATCAATCAAATTCATTAAAAGCCACCTTATACAAGAGAACGGCTATGCACTGCAGCGTACTCTGCCGCGCGATAGCGAGCGGAGCCAAACTGGTGACAAATATACAGATAAATGAAAAACAAGTCCAAACACGAATCTATTCGCCAAAAGTCGAATAAAATGACCTTCGTTACATCCTCCATGAAGACCACATTTTCATCTCATGTCCGCTGTGGCCACCAATGGGTAGCGTGACTAGCTTGCATGGGGTGGAAACGATGATGTGCGTGATGATAAGTATCGTGTCTAGTTTTCTACCAGCGCGCCGCTTGCCACTACACCACTTCCGCCCCTCTTTGGGGCGGAAGTGGTGTAGTGGCAAGTGGCGCGCTTACCACGCGAGCGGTCCGGGGATCAAATCCTGGGTCGTGAGTCGCCCGGGCCAACCAAGCCTTCCATCCCTCCGGGGTCGGTTAATTGGTACCAGACTTGTCTGGGAGGATAAAAACACTGACTTGTACATCGGCTGGCCCCCGCAAGTCATTGTATAGGCCACATCGCATTCAAACGCCACTACGAATGTACAAATGGAAGTAGAATGCGTGCCGCATCCCAAAAGGGATTGATCAACGGCAAATGCTTTATCCTTTTATCCTTCTGCTTTGTAAGCTCGTGTTTAGACCACGAGAGAAAATGCAAACACTTGTTCTCTCATTGTTCGTTAATAGTAGTGTTGCAGATTCTTGCGCGTGGTGATGCACCCTACTCCTTGTGGAAATATGCATGTAGTGGAATCAGTACGGGACCACACGTGTACTTAGTGTGCCGAAAATAATTATTGTGCAAAGTTCTCTGGATAAATTGTCTATTGTTTTGTGTTAAACATGCATTACATAATGAGCGAGCAACTGCAGAATAAGACAATGTATGGATTGCTGCTGAGTGGAGTTGGCAAAAGCGCAAACTTTTTTTGCTGCGGATCCACCTAATGTACAGTAAAAACAATATAGAAGCATACATTAGCGTGAGTTGGTATAGCGCGTGAGTGGTTTCTGCGAAAATGGCATAAATTGCTGATACGAAGGCAAACCCTGTCTATAGATTTCTATTAGAACACTAGTGTTTTTTAGTTACGCCATAGAATGTAAGCTATTTCTTGGTTGCCATGCAATATATCTACTGTGCGCACAATTCGCACGCTGAATTTTCGTATGCTTCATGTGCTTTGTATTGTGACGTCCTCAGCGGCTCTTAATAGCGGCAAATTTTGAATATAGGCCGCCACGCTAATTCTACCCCCCCCTCCCTGCGGGCTTGTAAAAATATATGAATTGACTTCTCCTCACAAGCCGATAAGTTATTTAAAAGTGTTAATCTCTCTCCAAGAATCTTTTGCTTCAAGAAAACTCTGCTTGCCCACTCATCCTTCACTGAAATCCGCTCAACCAAGAGAAAAATATACACTACGAAGATGAGTCCTACATACAAACCGAACAAAAATACAACGATAAGTCATGAAAGTCGCATGTTATGACAGCATCTCGTCTTGCTTTAATTCCTCTGGAGAGCTTGCCAAAACTTAGTATTACACAGAAGTCCCCACGTATGTCTTTGGATGAACCCCGGCATTTATACGCTGGTGAACCTTCTTCTTAACCTTCCCGAGGTTTTGGTAATATATCATTTATTTATTTATTTATTTATTTACAGGTCAATCGTAACAGTGAGTAAAAAAATAATAATTGGACCCGGGATGGCACAAGATTGATTGACTCAAAATTCAATTTAGTGTTTGTGGTAAGGAGAAAAAAGGCCAGGAGGGAACAGGAGCGGGTGCAATTGGCACCTCTTTGATCTAAACACGAACCCCAGGCGCTGGCTCGGGGGTGCTTACGAAGGCATTAACTAAGTTTGCGTGCTGAACTAGGAGTGGGTATATGGATAAATATAGCCGGAAAGGGCCCAGCAGGAAGGGGTGAGCAAATAGCCCCAATGGAATTGAAAGAGCATGAGCAGAATTAAATATTTTGGGGGCAGCCAATCCGTACCATTCGGAGTTTTCAATATGACAATTGCGAAAAAAGAGAAAAAAATATGAATATCATGGAACAGGTGACGACTCTTCTTGACAACGGCTTAATGACTCGACCAGCCAGAATCCTAAGGAGCTTTTCTGAATAGACAACTGAAAAAAACTCGTGTATAGGTTTTAGGGAATGAACATGGTAAATCGGGAGCGAAAAAAAACACCTGAAAAAAAGCATATTATTCACCATTTACAGATCAAGATGGGATATACATATCTTGATTGATCGTATTCACTTTTGTTCCAGTTGAATGGTAGGCTGAAATTCTCAATGGCAACGAGGAAACTAGTTCACTACCCTTCGACCGTCAAAACCTCCCATAGATATTGATTGTAGATCCCCCCAGTTCCCCTATTGCGGGGAACTGGGGGGCCGGTTCTCTCTAAGCGAGAGAACCGGACGCACCGAGTTCGAATAGAACCGGCAGAATCGGCGCAGAAGCACATAGCGCGACGGCGGATCCGAACCCCTACGAACCCCCGGTCACGAGCGCACACGAAGCGCGCGCACTCGCTCTGAGCCATTCTGCCGGTTGGCAAGTGTCACATATCGAGCTGCCAACTGATGACGGGTCGCGTTGCCCAATCGTGTAGCAGGCATTAGCCAATCGATAGGTAGATAGCTGACTACAATAGCGTAGAAACTACAATAGATCTTTTAAACAGTGTCCTTCCTCTTCGGAATGGCTAGATAGCCCCACCTTGTCTAATTGTTTGCTTTATAAAGTCAGCAAGGTGACTCTTGAATGTGGAGGAGTGTTTCCATTTGAAAAATTCGGGTTTCAAGCTATTCCAAAGAGGGGCCACTCTGACAAGGAATGATCCGGCGTAAGAGCTGGAGTTGGGTTTGTCAGGTCTTATTCTGTATGGGTGGCCTCTTGATATAGCGATGTTTAGCGGTATCTCGAAAAGGTCAGACAGCTGTAGGCAAATTTCGTCAGTAGTCAGTTTGTACATCAAGGAAAAATCTGTCAATTTTCTTCGAAATTCGAGCATATCTGCCCCAAGTATGCGAAGCCGCTTCGTAAGAGCAAGATGTAATACCTCTGCGCAGAAAACAACGGTATGTGAAGCTCTTCTGTACCTTCTCGATATCTTCGATTAAGCGTCTTTTATGAGGTGACCAAAGCGGAGTACAATACTCCAACAAGGGCCTGGCATACAGCGCGAAAAGTCGGAAAAGGCATGATAGTTCACGGGTTTTGAATGCCTTGAGTATGTAGTTAGAAACTGAATATGCAGCCTGAATCCTGCTCTTTATATAGTCATCAAAGTCTAGTTTATCATTATAGCTTACTCCCAAGTCGCGAATCTGGTGCACGCGGGTGAGTGCAGTGCCGTCGAGAGTAAAGGAGAAATCAGGATGACCTCTCCCCAATCCCATCACGGTTGTCTTTTGCAGTGAGATGTCAAGACTCCACATTTTAGACCAAACTTCTACAGCGTTTATCGCATTTTGTAGCGTATAACAGTCGTTAATTGTGTATATTTTGGCGTCATCCGCATACATGCTGCAGAAGGTTCCATGAGGGAGGCAAGTGTTCAAGTCGTTTACAAAAAGTATGAACATGAGAGGTCCTAAGCATGTTCCCTGAGGTACTCCGCTTGGGGTGGAGTACGCAGGGGACAAGCTTTCATTCACTTTGACAGATTGCACCCTACCGCTAAGGAAGGAGTGAAGAAATTCTAGTAAGCGACCTTTGATTCCATACGCCTCAAGCTTCTTGACAAGAAGTGGGATCGAGATTGAGTCAAACGCTTTAGCGTAATCGATATAGCAAACCGAAACATAGCTCCCCCTGTCTAATTCTTTTTGCCAAAGCGGAATGGTGGACATGAGAGCTGATGTTGTCGATTTGTTCTTAAGAAATCCGTGTTGGCTAGGATGAAGTAAGTCCCTCTTTGAGAGATACAGTACTCGCCGTTTGAAATCGAAAATTCACGCGAATAACGCGAATCCTCGTTAATTTCGTGAATTCGTTATAACTCGGTTCAAAATTGAGCTTTCGAGAATCCGAAGATATCTTTGAATTCAGCTCGTCGGACACTATAAGAATGTCCCATTTTCAGAGAAAGAAAGAAAAAGAAACAGAAAGTCCCATTTTTAGAGGAATGTTTTGTAGAAAGCTGTAAAGGAAGCGAAGAATTTCCTTCACTGTCGTAGACTATGGTCACTTGTCTGTAGGAATTATTTTTATTTATTTATTTATTACGTTGCATAAGGCAATCGTGGGAAATACAATCGTAATAAATCACTCATGATACAATTAAAACTCATCAGCATCTCAATTGAATGACAAAGGAAAATTCATCACATCACAAAGGGAGGATCAGGAAGAAAGTCAATTTCAAGATCCTACGAAACTTCATATTTGAGTAGTTTTGCAGATATCTTCCTTTTGAACTGCCTCAATGACATATGGCTATCAATATTTTTGGTAACTTTTATATATGC